GACATTAAACTCCTTTAGGTAGAGTAAAAGGAGGAGAGGCGGAGGAAGAGGAGCAGGAGAGGGGTGTGAATAACAACAAATTAAACCATAGGCTTTTGTCATTGCTAATAATGGTTATAATGTTTTTACAAAGTAAATTTGGATGTTTTTTTATCCCCTTTCCCAAGAACTGACATTACTTTCAGAATAGTTCAAGTGACATGTAATCCTCACAATATCAGCAAAAATAGTTGATTTTAACAATTTGATATTAAATTTAGCTGGCAGGATTTTCTAAGATCTATTCACTTTACCTTTATTTCTGGTCCCATGAGTATAGACTTTTGGGGTATCATGTTGAACTTGGGTTTCAAAGATTTGTTTTTGTTCAAAACATTTCAAGAGATAATGTTAGTTACTTTGAGTATGCATTCCATCTCCAAGCAATACTTGACTGAAAAATGGGTTTAATTTTTGTTACTAATGCTCACCAAATTCAAGGCTCAAGAGCCACTCAACATAGAGGGTTAGTGAATAAGGTCTGTGATATGAATATAAGTGTAGGAAGTGAGGATTATGTTGCTGTTCAGGATAGATAACAGTTGAGATTTGTTTTGAAGTAGTTAAGATTGTAGTGTTCAGAGAAACATTCAGAAAGTTGTAATTAGGAGAAGAGCGAATTACAACTTTCTATCTCACCCGTTCTTTTTTTGTGTCTATTATTTTTGTATACTAATGAAAAGACTATGATCAAGATGCAATGCCTTTTCTTCATTACTCAGTCAGAGATTCTTCGTTAACTTTTTCCTTTCTCTTGATTGCAGTGATTGGTTCTTTTTTCAGGTTCTTTTCAATAGCAAAATGCTGACTTTTTTTTCAGATTTTGAGTTCTGGATTTCTGAAACTCCTACATTTGATTTACATAAATTTGAACCTTTTTCAGTCTCTTCTCTTGATTCCCATAGATTTGATTATTTTCAGCCCATTCCAAGGATTTCTATGAGTTCTTGTCTTTTTAAGTCACGTCTTCTGAATCCCATAAATTTGTTTCCATTTTAGTCTCTTTTTTATTTCCATTCCCTTGATTTCCATAAATTTGAGCCTCGTTAAATCTATTCTTATTCAGTCTCTTCTCTCAATTTCCATAAATTTAATTCTTTTACAGCGTCTTCTTTTGATTATCATGAATTTGATTCTTTTTCAGTCTCTTCTCTTGAATCACATAAATTTTATTCTTTTTAAGTCTCTTCACTCAAATACTATAAATTTTATTCTTTTTCAGTCTCTTCTCTTGAATCACATAAATTTTATTCTTTTTAAGTCTCTTCATTCAAATACTATAAATTTTATTCTTTTTCAGTCTCTTCTCTTGAATCACATAAATTTTATTCTTTTTAAGTCTCTTCACTCAAATACTATAAATTTTATTCTTTTTCAGTCTCTTCTCTTGAATCACATAAATTTTATTCTTTTTAAGTCTCTTCTCTCAAATACTATAAATTTTATTCTTTTTAAGTTTCTTCTCTCAAATGCTATAAATTTGATTCTTTTTCAGTTTCTTCTCTTGAATACCATAACTTGATTCTTTTTGAGCATCTTTCTCGATTTGCAGAATTTTATGTTTTTCAGCCCATTTTCTCGATTTCCATGAATCTAATTCTTTTTCCACCCATTCTCCCAATTCCTAAAAATTTGATTCTTTTTCAGCCCTTTCTCATGGATTTGGTTTTTTCTTAATCTCTTTTCTTGATAGACAAACTTTTTATTCTTGTTACGGTTTTCATACTTTTAATTTAACTATTTCTCTATTCCCTTACACCCTTCTTGTTTCTACTCAATATCAATATTTTTATCATTCTTCCTCTATTTTCCTGTTTCTTTTCTGTGCTTCTAATCATTACAGCAGTTTACTTAATTTTTTTTCTCAGTGAACATCACACCTTCCATTTATTCCCTAATTCATTTTCTTCTTTATCATTTTCCTTCTGATATCTTCTTTTTTTTATTCATTCTTCCTGCTTTTTTTTTTTTGTTCTTTCTTTCTCCTTTTTCTATATCACCCCTATATTCTTTTTATATCTGTTCCACACCTTGTTTTATCTAATCTTTTCCTCTTCCACATTCAGGGCTTTCATGTCTTCTTTCAACTTTACTTTTTTTCATTTCTTTAAGATTTCACCTTTTCCTTATGAAAAAAACAAAAAGTTTCCTTCTCTGATATATCTCCAAACACTCATTCGTAAATCTTTAGTTTTTTTCCCTATTTCTGTTTTTTTTTTCCTTTTATACTAATATTACTTTTGTTACAAAAGACTATAATCACATTCGCACTCAAAGTAAGTGCTTAGCGGAAAGTATTAGTAAACATATTTACCATCTAGCAGACCCTTTGTTATCTTCCTTTTTATTTATTATAACTTTTTTTTTGTTATTGTTGCTACTCCCTACGATGTTGTTATACGAGTCAGGAGTCAGTCTTGGCAATTTCTCTTATTGTGTTATTATTATTATTACAGGATCAACAAGGACTTGATCACCTGCCAATAACATCACCACAATTATCTTCATTTTATTCCAACAGATTTTTCTGTTATAGAGTGCAGCATAGTCTCATACCAGATCTTTACTATAAACTTACACAAGGAAAGAATTAGGTAACTTTCTATTTACTTTAGAAATCTTCATGAATTCTAGGGCTATATTCTCCGAGCATAAGGTGATGCCGTTGTCATTTCTGTAGAAAGCAGTTTTACTGGGTGGAGTTGCTAACTCTATGTCCAATTGGTTTTGAATTCAGAGTTTTTTATCCTTTACACTGACTGACAGCCAAAACTAGATATCCCAGTCTGCCATTCTATTAACCATTAGTCAGATTGGGCACTTGTGGATTCATACCTTTCCAACGGTATTCTTGTAAAATTTGTTTAGAATTTGTTCTTGACATTCCCATTCCACTTATCATGCTATAAGCACCACATAACAAAATTTAACATCAAAATTATGATTGATCACAAATCCCATCACCTATTAGGGTCATAAGGGAACCACACATATTTCAGATACAATAGCAGTGGTGTATATTTTAATGCAAATACCTAGAAAATATTAACATGATAATATAAATATCTGGTAAAGGCTATATATTAATGCAAATACCTGGAAAATATTAACATAATATAAATATCTGGTAAAGGCTATATATTAATGCAAATACCTAGAAAATATTAACATGATAATATAAATATCTGGTAAAGGCTATATATTAATGCAAATACCTGGAAAATATTAACATAATATAAATATCTGGTAAAGGCTATATATTAATGCAAATACCTAGAAAATATTAACATGATAATATAAATATCTGGTAAAGGCTATATATTAATGCAAATACCTGGAAAATGTTAACATGATAATATAAATATCTGGTAAAGGCTATATATTAATGCAAATACCTAGAAAATATTAACATGATAATATAAATATCTGGTAAAGGCTATATATTAATGCAAATACCTGGAAAATGTTAACATGATAATATAAATACCAGATAAAAGATAATATTTTACCTGGCATATATTACATGTTAATATAAATAAATAGTGAAGATTATATGGTAACGTAAATACCTATTAAAGACTACATATTAATGAAAATAGCTGGCCAATATTACATGGTAATATAAATACCTGGTAAAAGGTTACATAACATGGTAATACAAATAACCGGTGAAGAATAGATAGTAATACAAATAACTTGTAAAGATTACCTGGTAATATATATACCTCATAAAGGTTACACAGTAAAAAAATATCTTTTAAAAGGTTAATTGGTAAAGATTTGATGGTAATACTTGGCTAATATTAATATAATAATATAAATAATTGGTAAAAGTTACATATTAACGTAAATACCTTGCAAATATTACATGGTGATATAAATATCTAGTAAAAGATTGCATTTTACTACAGATAACTGATATATATATATATATATATATATATATATATATATATAAATTTATATATATATATATTAGATGTTAATACAAATAACTTGAAGATTACATGGTAATGCACATAACTGGTAAAGATTAACTGGTAATATAAATACCTGGCAAAATGTTACATGGTAAAGATTACATAGTAATACAAATGTCTACTAAAGATTACATGATAATACAAATACTTGGTAGCGACTAAAAAAAATAAATTAAAAAATTAAAAAGCAAGGTAACAAAAAATTAAATTAAAATTAAGAAAAATTAAAAACAAGGTAAAAAAATTAAATTAAAAGATGAAAAAGTGAGGTAACGAAAAATTAAATTTAAAAAGTTAAAAAAAATTAAAAACTGAAGTAACAAAAAAAATTAAATTACTGTAAAATGGAATATTGAAATACAGAATACAATTAACAAAAAATCAACTTCACAAGTTCATTAACCCTCTCTCACCTATGCTTATTTGAGGGTGAAAAACATACACAGTAACTAAAATAAACACCAAAGACTGAATGTTAGGTAATATATATATATATATATATATAACAATATATATATATATATATATATATATATATATAACATTTCTGTCTAACAATCATTTCTCTTGCTTGCAAAGGGATGGCTTGGAAGACTTAATGTCAAAAAACAATAACAACTTCAAGTGAAAGTCCAACTTAGCTTCCCTCAGAATATGTTTGTTATAAGGCTGGACATTGTGATAGGCATTTAATAGATTATTACATACCTAGTAATATAAATATATAATGAAAGTCAGTACTATGGTAGAGTTCAGACAAAATGTTGGCCCTAAAATAGCTTTAAGTGCAGCCTAGCACACACAGACAGGTAGAAACGCACCACACGCATGCACACACAGATATACACGCAGACACACATGCACATATATAGACAAACAGACAAACAAACTTACTCAAAGGTAGATGCACTGACAAATATCTATATAGACAAGACAGACAGACAGACTCAAAAACAGATATATAGACACACTGAGAGATAGCTATATAGATAAATAGACAAATAGGCATATAGATAGATAGATAGGTAGATAGGTAGATAGATAGACTGAGAGATAGCTATATAGATAGATAGGTAGATAGATAGACTGAGAGATAGCTATATAGATAAATAGACAAATAGGCAGATAGATAGATAGATAGACTGAGAGATAGCTATATAGATGGATAGATAGGTAGATAGGTAGATAGATAGACTGAGAGATAGCTATATAGATAAATAGACAAATAGGCGTATAGATAGATAGGTAGAGAGATAGGTAGATAGACTGAGATAGCTATATAGGTAGATAGGTAGATAGATAGACAGAGATAGCTATATAGATAAATAGACAAATAGGCATATAGATAGATAGGTAGATAGATAGACTGAGAGATAGCTATATAGTTAAATAGACAAATAGGCATATAGATAGATAGGTAGATAGTAGATAGATAGATAGACTGAGAGATAGCTATATAGATAAATAGACAAATAGGCATATAAATAGATAGGTAGATAGATAACAATATAGACAGACAGGCAGGCAGGCACACTAACAGATAGCTATATACATATCTTGACAGACAGACATACACATAGATAGATAGACAGATAACCTAAGATATCTATAGAGATAATTAGACAAATTGACATACACATAGATAGACAGATAGACTAACAGATAGCTATATAGATAACTAGACAGACAAGCTTAGATAGTAATACTTGGCTAATATTAATATAATAATATAAATAACATATAGATAGATAGCTAGATAAGTAGATATACAGATATACCTACAGATAGTGATATAGATAACTAGAGAAGTAAGCATACATATAGATAGATAGATAGACAGCTATACAGATAATTAGAAACAGGCATATAGATAGATAGATAGACAGCTATACAGATACACAGATAGATAGATACATAGATATAAATAAATAGATAGATAGCTATATAGATAAATAGATAGACAGCTATACAGATAATTAGAAACAGGCATATACACAGATAGATAGATAGATAGATAGATAGCTATATAGATAGATAGATAGATAGCTATATAGATAAATAGATAGACAGCTATACAGATAATTAGAAACAGGCATATACACAGATAGATAGATAGATAGATAGATAGCTATATAGATAGATAGATAGATAGCTATATAGATAAATAGATAGACAGCTATACAGATAATTAGAAACAGGCATATACACAGATAGATAGATAGATAGATAGATAGATAGCTATATAGATAGATAGATAGCTATATAGATAAATAGATAGACAGCTATACAGATAATTAGAAACAGGCATATACACAGATAGATAGATAGATAGATAGACAGCTATACAGATAATTAGAAACAGGCATATACACAGATAGATAGATAGATAGATAGCTATATAGATAAATAGATAGACAGCTATACAGATAATTAGAAACAGGCATATACACAGATAGATAGATAGATAGCTATATAGATAGATAGATAGATAGATAGCTATATAGATAAATAGATAGACAGCTATACAGATAATTAGAAACAGGCATATACACAGATAGATAGATAGATAGATAGATAGCTATATAGATAGATAGATAGATAGCTATATAGATAGATAGATAGATAGCTATATAGATAAATAGATAGACAGCTATACAGATAATTAGAAACAGGCATATACACAGATAGATAGATAGATAGATAACTAGACAAACAGATATACGCACAGATAGGCAAACAGACAGACAGGCCTACACATAGATAGATAAATATAAAGATAGGTAAATAAAGAGGTTATTGCTGATATTGATTTATAGCCTCTTAGTATCGAGATCCATATCTTTGTTATTATTCTTTCTTTTTCTTTTTCCCGGGTGTATTGTTAAAAGAGAGTAAAAAGATCAAAGTCAGAAAAGTAACAGATTGTAGAGATTACGTTAGTGAAATAATTCAGATTCTTTTTTTTTTTTTGCCTTTAGTTTAGGTTTGGCAAATAAACAAAGAGGAAGATAAATATTGCACCTCGGGGGCTAATGCAACAGATTTATTTTTCATCACTTGCATTGTTTTGGGATTTTCTTTCTTTTTCACTTACAAGATGACTTAAATCAAGTAGAAGGCAAGAAAATCATATAAATGAAAGAATGAGAAAAAGGCATCAGAAGAGAAGGAAATAGAAGCGATAGGAGAGAGGATGAATGAAGAAGATGAAAAAAAAGAAAGATCTAGAAAGAAGTAAGTTGGAAAGGAAGAAGCAGAATAAAAGAAAGGAGTTGTAAAAAAAAGAGAAAATGGAAAAAGAAAAAGAAACTGAAAAAATTGTGTGTAAGAAAAAGGAACTCAAGAAAGCAGGAAAAATAAGAGGATGATGGTAGAAAAAAAGTTGAGAAGAAAAGAAAGGGAAAACAGAAAAGGGAGAGAAAACAGAAAAGGAAGAGAAAACAGAAAAAGAAGGGAAAACAGAAAGGGGAGGGAAACTAGAAAAGGAAGAAAAAACAGAAAAGGGAGAAAAAACAGAAAAGGAAGAGAAAATGGAAAAGAAGAGAAAATGGAAAAGAAGAAAAAATAGAAAAGGAAGAGAAAATAGAAAAGGAAAATGTTAGATAAAGTTAGAGAGTTGGGAAGGAAAAAGAAGGATGACAGAGGGAGAAGGTTGGAAATTTAATAAAAGAAAATGGCAGAAAAAGTAAAGAAAAAAAATAGGCTGGAAAAAGAAGAGGCAAATAGAAAGGAAGTTGGAGAAAAAGGGACAGAGATAGTAAAGGTAAAAGAAAAATTGGTTGCAAGATAAAAATAAACCAAAGAGAGAAGGAAAAAAAGAAGTGAACAATGGCAGAAAAAAGAAAATTGTTGGAAAAAGAAAAAAGTTTAAAAAATAAAAATGTTAGAAAAATGTTAGAAAAAATTTAAAAAAAAACAGTAAAAAAGTTGTAGTGCAAGAAACAGAAAAAGAAAAGATATTACATAGCATGTTGATATTACACAGCAGTTCAGCACATCTTCCTTTGTCTCTAATGAATTTTTCCTGTTTCTTAATACTTTGCTTAGATTCTGGAAAGCAACTTTCATTATTCCAGATTTTGGATTTTACTTTTACATTTTATATCACCAATTTAGAAACAAAGAAAAGAGTATTGAACAGTTACATAATATTAGTTCTTCTATATGGCAGTGAATGCTGGACAATCTCTTCACAGATGAAAAAATATTATTCTACAGAAGGATGCTGAGAATACCATGGACTGAATATGTGAGCATATGATGAAGTTTTCAAAAAAATTGTAACAAAAGGACACTTATACTTACATGACAAAAAAGATAGTTGAGATTTCTAGGGGACATAATGAGGAAAGAGGGCTTGGAAAATTTTATATTTACAGGACCGATTGAAGGCTAGAGGGTCATATGAAAACAACACATAACATACCTTGTTGAGCTTGAGTATATGGATGGTAAAGCAGGTTTTATGAGAAGAGACAAAATTTGCTAAGAGCTACAAAGGAAAGGTAATTGTGGAGAGTCATGACAGTGGCGTAGCTAGAGTAAACGTCTCCTGGGGCGATCTGCTCAAATGTCACCCCAATGACCCCGATTCACCCTATGCTGAATGGTTAGCTGTAGCTAAATTTTCATACATGCTCTACCTCTACTTTACTCTACTGACCGGTACGTTACTGTTTACATGTATGATCCAAGACAAAATCCAATACCACAAAATAATCAGTTCAAAACAAAAGATTTTTAAAATGCAACTGTTCACTTTCAGAACAACTAAATACAAAACATGGCAATAGACAAAAGAATGACATTCAATACTATTGTCTTAGAATGAATGTTTTCTTGTTTTCATTGTGGCAAACTGGTCAATGACATCGTCAAAATCTGTTTGTCTTGTAAGCTCGTTTTCAATGGACAGCACAGCCAGATCCGACAGTCTCGACTGGCTCATGGTTGAAGTAATTTTCTGTTGCTAATTTTCTGGTGTCCAATTTTCTGTTGCATCATTTTCTGGGTACCATTTAATTATCAATGATGTTTGAAAGTATTTTTCTTGACAAAAATGTTCAATTTAATTTTTAAGCATTTTCAGAACATTGTAAATCAACTGCATTCTTTTAAAGGTTACCTAGAGAATTTATGCAAAGTTTATTTTTTTTTGTTTTTCTTTATACAAGTAAAATAAATTTACATCGTATTTTGATGTTATTATGATTTTAGTTTTAGTGATAATTTAAAAACAATAAATATTTATCATTAGTACCAATAATGGAAAATTAAGTTAAAAATTTAAAAGAATCGTTTTTGGAATCGGAAAATAGGCACAAATTTTTCTGATACCATTTCCGATACCCCAAAAAGTTCCGATTTTTCCAATTATCATTTCTGATTTCGATTAGTCATCCCAGCACTAGCAGATATATTCAAAAGTATATCGCTCACTCAATGGAAAATTGTATCTCGGCGAATTGATACACAGGCAAGACTGAAATTGTTGCACTTTTGGCTTCGTATTTCACTTTGTTGTTATTAATGATGCAGTGTTAAAACACCATATCATCCAATAAAATGTTACAACAATGTCCCTTGTTAGTAACCAAGATTGTAGCAACTGAAACACATGAAAGCTGAAAAGATTGCTATTTTTCCTACTCACAAATTTCCCGACAATTTATTAGAAAATTTCTGATGGGGGGGACAAAACTGGGGGGGGGGAGTCATAAATTATTTCTGGGGGGTCATATGCCCACCTGCAAAACTCTGTGTCTCCACCACTGTTTTCAGACTATTTTTAGCACCAAAAATTTTGTTGGGGGTGACATTGTGTCACCCCTCCTGTGCTGGCACCCGAGGCGGTACGCCCCCCCCCCCCTCGACAGTTAGCTACACCACTGAGTCATGATCACCAATGTCCTGAAGGAACATGGCACATGGAGGAAGAAGAAGAATAAAGCAATTATAAATGCTCTAAAAACAATCCTGATGACCATATTTGTTTGGGTAGGCATCAAATCACACAAGCTCATTGGGAAGACCAAGTTGCTTCAGAGGATGATGAAGATTATAATGATATCAACAAAATGGTAACAATGGTAACAGCTAACAAGTTGATGATGATATCAACAAGATGGTAACAATCATAACAGCTAACAATTTGATGATATAAAAAATGGTAAGAATGATAACTGCTAACAATTTGATGATGATAATAGTGATATTAACAAAATTTTAACACTGATAACAGCTAACAACTTGATGATGATGATGATGATGATGACTATAATGATGCTAGAAGTGATGTTTTTAATGATAAAATACTTGCAGAAAACGGACTGATGAGGTATATCAACGAGCATCTAGAATAGGGGTTCTCAGCCAGTGGGGAATTTCTCCCCAGAGGGAATTCCTCCCCAAGAGGGATTTCATGGTTTCAAATCTTTTATTTCTCTTGTTTGTTAGTTACTGAATTTGAAGCCTAAAAAACAAACTCCTCTATAACAAATAATCCATGTAAATGCATATTTACTAATATGGAAAAGAATGAAGATTTCCAATAATATATACATATTATTTGGAATGCACCTTTCGATTCATAGAATCGAGGGAATGAAAATGATGTATTGGGCAAAAAATGTTGAGAATCGCTGTTCAAGAACTTTGGTTTCATACATTAACCAATAGGTATTTACCAATTGCTATCACTTTAATAATCAGTTAGAGTGGATTAGGAGATAGAGGTTTAGAATGAGGATAAAGTCTTGATGTGAAATAATCAGTAACAAATTCTATAAAGAGGCTTTCACTTTGATGAGTTCTAATGGTGATGAGAATATCAGCATTGCTAAAAGATACATCTGGTTACAGTAATGTTGAGATTACATGTCCCCACACAGGAAACATTCATCATTCACTTGATTGGACACTTAGCATTACTGATGGTTGAAATTCATAAAATCTTTCTTAAAACAATTTTTCAGGTAATTAAACTTCTCAAGTTTACTGTTTTCACTCGTTCTATCAATTGTTAGGAGTTTCCTTTCAAAACTTTTGTTTAAGGTAGTGTGGAAAGTTAACAGCTTGATTATAAATTACTTGCCCTTCTAGTAAAATCTGCTACCAAATTCTGTTGTTGTTGCTGTTAGAAGTTTTCAAGTGATGTGGTTTTTGTTATTTGGTAATGTTCTACCAAAGCACCATTCTATAGGGTCTGATGAAGGATTGCCTTCTTTAAGATCTAAAGGATCCATTCACATGCTAATGGTAACATTAGCTGGTTCCTTATAAGGAAACATTTGGCATTCATTGACCAAGCAGCCAGTGTCATCATCAGTTAAAATTTATAACATCTTTACAATTTTCCAGGAAAATAAGTTTCTCAAGTTCACTGTTATTGCTGTTCCTAGTATTGATGGGGGTTTCTTTTCTAGCCTTTTGTTTAAGGTAGTGTGGAAAGTCAACATCTTGATTTAGTCATTATTTCCTTTTCTAGTTACATGTGATATCCATTTTAGTTGTTGCTGTCACTGAAAGTCCTTGAGTCATGTGGTTTCTGATATTTTGTAAAGATCTTTGTGATTTTGCAGTGAAATTCTATAAAGGTCTAATGAAGGATTGTCCTCTTTAAGATCTAAAGGATTCATTGGCTTTGTAATAGCAATATTAGCAGCAAGTGCCATCATTGGTTAAAATTTAGAACATTTAGAACAATTCTGAAGAAAAATATGTTTCTCATGTCCACTGTTATCACTCTTTCCAGTATTGATGGGGGTTTCCTTCCTAACCTTTTGTTTAAATTAGTGTGGAAATTCAACATCTTGATTATGCCATTAGTTTTTGTTTAAATTACATGTGTTATCCATTTTAGTTGGCGCTGCTTTTAGAATGACGCCTGTATTCTTGGTACCATCCTTAATCGAATTTCATTGACTGGCACTACAGAACCACTAAGAGCTTTTCCAAATAACATTAGACACATCACTTGATATAGCGTCTGTTATTTGGGAAAGTTCTTTTTTATTCTTTAGCGTTTAGATTAAAGGAAACATTTGCAATTCATTGACTAAACA